TGTACATTTCATGCCATAGAGATACTACGAAAAATTACTAACAAACGTATTTTCAGACTTCACACTAACCGCATGCGCTTAAAATCTTCGGAGGTGTTTTTAATCTGCCAAACGTTGAGTAAAATTCGACTTAGGTACCAGGTCGATATGATAAGTTAGTTGAAAAATCAGAACTTTATTGATGGTTCCAGCAAGTTCGAAAGCCGGCCAGGAGAAATAATATACTTGATTCATTATTCACTTCATCCCAGTGCACATCAGTCATGAATTTTTTATGAGTGATCATAGAGTCGTATTGAGTACTGTTCATTCTTTGAACATCATAGGACTGAACTCTAAGGCTGCAACGATGTACCACAACTCCTTTTCGACGCTTACCATGAAAATCTTATTTCGTTACAAGTAATGTTGACAGTGCGCTTTCAGAATTACACCACAACCTGACATATTGCCTTGACTGTACTGCTCCAATTATCGGTCATGTGGCTTATAATGCTAATAGGGGCCAAAACACTTTCAATACCTTTAAAAGAAAGCTGAGAAAATTGAAACACCACTACCAGAATTATCACAACATGTATACATTTCAGAATATAGTTGATAGACAAATGATTCATCCAAACGCATGTGTATTATGACTATGGAGAATAAGGCCTCAGGTAATAAAAGCCCAGAGTTATCAATACTTCGACGTTTCAAATCCTATATGAAATCGAATTCTCTTGGTATAGCGAATTTTCCATATTTAATGGAGGCATTTTTGGTGACCCTGATACTATTTTTCAGCAATTCGGCCAGCATTTCTCCCAATGCCACAACACTGAAACTAAGCAGTTATACGGAACCGAACATATATTGCATCTAATTCTACATTTCATTTTTGTACTTGATTGTTTCATAAAAACGGGAGAGCAATTCTTCATGACTGACTGACTTTATTTATTTTTCTCCGGAGTAGACTCTTGTTTATCCTTGACTTGATGGTGACCCAAAAGACAGGTGAGTAAACCTCTAATGACTGGACGGATTGTGAGAGAGTTGTATCATACCAACATGGAATTGGGTAGCCCACTCGTGGCATCACCTCATATATTTCCGTCTTACTTTTTATCCTCACTTTTCTTACATGCTTTCATCCTCACATAGAGGACACAATCAAAAAGTCATGAGCGATAATTTATGGAAGATTGTAAATGATAAGAGATAACAAACTAGTAAAGTATATGACACCCATGAAGCATCTCTGAACACTGACTGGGCGTTGATCAGTATCGATTGAAAGCCAAAAGTTGAGCGAAATAGTTCTTGTTGGGTAAGTTGATCGAACCGACATTTATGTGGAATTTTATTTTAGGAGAAAGCTGAAGTAACGACTAAAGTTGATTGGTTAAGAGCTGTCCGCAAACATCATGGTAATGTCACATTATAGCCCAAGTATTCATTCACCACCTTATTTTGTGTAGATATTATAGTTCTTATTATTTTATGTTGAATATTGAAAAACTTTGTGTGTTTCAAAAGAATAACGTCACGCTTCGAATGTTTTGTTCCATGATCTTAATGAAGGCATATTTGTAGTGGCATTGGGGCCTAACTACACAATCCTCAAAGATGAATACGAGACAATTAGGGTGACAGATATTCAGCCTTTAACGCAGAGAAAAACCTAGCGATGAAGAAGGGGGGAGTTAGGAATGGAATTAATTCGGACTAGTCGGATGGTATGGCTCGGCCTTGCTTCCACGCAAGATCTTATCGGTTAGGCATTTACGTCATGACAAAGGTACAATTTTAGGATTGGGTCTATTTTTAGAGCAGTACTAATATCATAGTAGACCATGATTCTACAATTGATTGATCACTGGGTGGTGATCAATGTCATGTTTGTCTAGTCCTTATTAGTGCAGATCGAATGCTATCGATCATGTTGCAATGTGGCCACCAGTCTAGATGACTCGACACTGCGGGCACTATGTATTGTGATTTAGATGGTAGTTGGAGGTAGTCAGCAGGAAACCCTGGACCCGGGTTTCGTGCTACTTGGCACTCGTCAGCAAGATGTACCTGTAATCTTGAGGGAACTGGTGCTCCCTGGCGGATCTGATCTCGTGTCACCCAGTTTCACAGTCAGAGACGTTACCACTGAGCTATCCGAGCCGTGACTAACCTCCTGTAGGACTGAGATGTAACCACACTTGATTGATCACTGGGTGGTGATCAATGTCATGTTTGTCTAGTCCTTATTAGTGCAGATCGAATGCTATCGATCAGTGGTAACGTCTCTGACTGTGAAACTGGGTGACACGAGATCGAATCCGCCAGGGAGCACCAGTTCCCTCAAGATTACAGGTACACCTTGCTGACGAGTGCCAAGTAGCACGAAACCCGGGTCCAGGGTTTCCTGTTGACTACCTCCAACTACCATCTAGACCATGATTCTACATATTCACTAATAGCCTGGTAACTTCTATCGATGAAACGAGGGGTACCCATTGGCACGAGAGAATCATTAAAGATTGTATTAAAATAAAAATAACGCTGGTAATGAAGTATCCAGCTGTTCTGTCGTAGTAAAATAAATCCAAGACTGCATTAGACTGGTTTTATCTTCATTGTATTATAATGATCACAAACTGTTCTAAGTTCCAACTGGTCAATTTGTCTCTAGTACTTACAGATCGGTATAACAAGAAGATACGATTAACAGAAAAATAGATAGACAGACAACCACGTAGTGGAATATGAGGAGAACTCATATGTAAGGCATTCGAAATGATCACACAACTGATCGGAATTTGACCATTAGGATTGAACTAGCGCATTCGACAGTCACATGCTTAGTTAGAGATTGTATTCTCAAATGAATGTTCAGTTATATTCGTTTAAAATATCCGTATTGAATACCTTAGGAATTTCGTAGTGTGTTTTACCCAAAATTTGTAATGTACATGTATGCAGTGAATACAATGTTGAGAACGTTCGTATTGTGACCTTCGATAACATTACAGAATTATGGTCTAGTTCGTTATTAGTACAACTATAATAATATACATTATCCTAAAATTGTAGATTTGTCATGATATGAAAACCTAATCCATATGATCTTACGTGAAAGTCACATCATTGTCTATTCTGATTCATACCAATCAGCAGTATAATGTTCGGAGTTTCTAAAGAACATACGTAGACCGTAGATAGAACAACATATGTAATATGCATAAAAGAGATAAGTTACACAAGAATGATCACGCCTGCAAGACTCAGCCATGCCATCAGATTGAATAATAAAAAGTTCCCGCCTTCTCCCCTGTTAGACGTCTCTCCGTGTTAAATGTCTAATATCTATTTTCCCAGTTGTTTCACGTTCAGCCTTAAGGATTGTGTGGTTATGACCAATATTACTTCAACATTTAACTGAGTTTAGGTGCTTCTAATTACTTCTGAAATGTGCATAGTCGAGAAAAGCAAACAGGATTCAGTGCTTCACTGTGCAAATCAGAAGGATCAACAGGTGAGTTGTTTTGTATTTATACTAATCATTTACAAGCAAATGCGTTTAAGAAACTGAAGGAGGTAATTGATAGCTAAACTGCGGAATTGATATATTATAGCCAAGTCAAGTGATGAAGAGCCAACAGAACAGTTAAATGAAAGGTTTAAACTATTAAACCACAAACCGATACTTAGAACTCCGAGTGGCTATGGTATTCTAATTGTCGTATGAACTAGGAATTCCAGGATTAACGCAATTCAATTAAGAAGACACAGGCACAGACGAATGTATTGTATTTAGAATTCGAAATCAAGCATTCAACCAGTACAAAGGTATCATTAGTTCATTCAAACACCACATCCGCCACAGCTTAAATTGGAGTCTAGGTGTTTGTAGTCAATCGTACGTCTTCTTCTCAAATTCATCCTGAGTCTGTCTGACATTGTATTGGATAAGGATTCTGTATTATCTAGAATATGCTCATTAGCATTAGAATTAACAATCGAAATTGGAACTGACTCACCTGGTACCTGGAATTGTATTTGATCTACATGTTGACTGTGTGTACTTAAGTCATCGATGTCTGGACTTCTCACCATCGATTTTTCGACATTCTTCAGAACAACACCCGTAGACGGGCGGAGATCATTTTCTCGATAGTATGTAACTTCTGCAGACTCCAAACATCTCATATTCGACCGAAGAATTCTTTCTTTCAATAGCTTCGCTGGAGTCTCCTTCGTCACCGAATGTCTGGCATTTCTATATTGCAATAGAAAGGTATCTACTCCCCTCTCCAACTCATTAAATGTTGAGGGGGCTATAGAATCAATAGCAGTCTTTAATGTCCTAACAAAATTCTCCGCCTGACCATTAAAACACGGATGTTTGGGAGCAGTAAACAGATGTTTGCACCCTATACCGTTCAACCAGGTAGTGACTGCATCTGCAGCAAAATGTGAGCCATTATCAGTCACCAACACCATGGGAACCCCTTCTCGACTAAACACCTTTCTTAATGCTTGTATTGTGAAATCAGAATTTGGTGAAGTTGTAAAAAAACTTCATGCCACTTTGAAAAAGAATCAATGACTACTAGTGCGTAATATTTACCAAGAAATGGTCCACAATAGTCAGCATGAATCCTCTGCCAGGCCTCAGACGATACTGGCCATGGCACCCACTTCGAAGGATGATTTTTCAACTGATGACATTTCTCACAATTGTTTGCCGTACGACATATATCTGCATTTATCTCTGGCCACCAGCATGTGAGCCTTGCCAAGAACTTCATTTTCTCAGCACCTAAATGACCACTATGAAGATCTTCAAGAACAGATTTACGCAATGAAGGAGGAATGACAACACGATCATTTAAACACAGAATACCATCAGAAGTAGTAGATAGCCCGTCCCGCTTTGAAAAATAGATAGGAAATCTACGTTTCAAATTAGCATCACAACCTTTCCTTATAGCACTGAGTATACATCCAAAATATCTACGCGTTTATCCAAGGCATTCAAAACTAGATACACAAAATGAACACTTATTTGGATTCACTGTAATATTCTTCTCAATTAAACGACGTAATAAAGCAATACGTCTCTCGTCATGAACTACCTTATCAGAACCATGAACAATGAGATCATCTTGATAAACTTCAACACTTTCAAGATCACTAACTACTTTATTCATAACTTCCTGAAATATGGCTGGAGAACAACTTAGACCAAATGGAAGGAAATTGTATTTGAACAGACCAAAAGGAGTGTTAATTGTCGTCAAAATAGATGAAGATTGATCTAAAGGAATTTGAAGATAAGCATCTTTTAGGTCAACTTTCGAGAACACTTTAGAACCATGAAGTCGATTTAGAATATCTTCAGCTTCTACCGTCGTGAACGTTTGCTTCAACAAATGGGAATTCAGAGTTAATCTATAGTCACCACATATTCTAGGGGTTTTGCCGTCCGATTTCAGTGGCGTAACGATAGGAGTACCCCATGCTGAAGACTGAATTGGTTCAATTATGCCTTTCACACACAAATCGTTTAATGTCTTATGTACTGCTTCTCGAAGACCATAAGGAATTATTCGTCATTTAAGAAAGGCTGGATCACCCTGTACTTGAAGTTTTATAGGCTTAATTTTCATACCTCCACTGCACTTAGCAGACATAGCTATCAAATCTTTAAGTAAAGTATCAGAATTTTCTTTAGGAACTAAGAAGGACAACTCCACCTTAAGCCTTTTCCAATTCTTTAAACCCAATATTGACAGTCCTGTTTCGCTAACTAAAAATTCACAAGATATGTATGAAGAATTATCATCTCTGATTAGCAATTCACAACATCCTCGTATGGGCAGTCTGTGTCCAGTAATCCCCAGTATTGATACTTCAGTGGGTCGTACAACAACGTTAGGATCTAAAGCTTTCAAGTTCTTGGATGAAATAATGGACTCTATACTGCCTGTGTCCAGAATAAAGTCATGAAATGAACCAAGCGATGTATATAGTCGTTTTTGAATATGAGCATTACCTTTCGAAATAGTAGACAAAGACAAATGATCACTAGAAACATCCGAATTATTGAAATTTAAATTACAAGATTTAGTACAGCTTGAAGCAAAATGGACAATAGCTTTGCATACTGACTGAATGTGTCCTACCTTACCATATTTAAAACATTCAGCATTACGAAATACACATGGATTGCGAGCATGAAACTTTCCACATGATAAACATTTACCAAACTTTATCTCACCTTTGTGATTTGCTTTGTAATTCCTCGTTGAAACACCTTTCATATTTACACGAGAATAGGAATCACTGTTAAATGAACGCAAGTTTGATTGACCCTGAGATTGTAGTTCATCACGACGACTAAGCAAAGTATTAGAAATCTTCATCGACTGGATATCGAGTTCATTGACTGCTTCGTAGTTAATACATGCAGTTCTAGCATCTTGAAAGGAACAGTTCGGCATTTTTAACAGCTTTCTTTCCAAACTCGGTATGTTAATTCCTGCAATTATTCGATCTCTCAGTTGCACATGAAGTTGATAGCCGAAATTACACTTGGCAGCTTGTTTCTGTAATTCAAGGATGAATTCCCGAGCCTTTTGGTCATTTCGACAAACCATCTTATGAAACTTCGTCCATTCACGGCATTCAAAACTGGTGCATTTTACATGACTTAATAATAGCTCTTTAAGAATTGCATAAGGGAGTGAGATAGGTTTTTCTGGATATGCCAAAGTTTTTAATAAGCTGTACGCTTCTCTCCCAATGAATGTCAAAAAATGTGCCACAATTTTATCACCTTTAACATCTTTCTTGGTCATGCTCCAGATTTCGAACATTTCAAAGTAATCCTCAAAAGCTTGAGGAGTTGAATGAATATCTAACTTTTCCATTGTAGGCTCCATCGCGACGCCAATATGTTATTCTAATTGTCGTATGAACTAGGAATTCCAGGATTAACGCAATTCAATTAGGAAGACACAGGCACAAACGAATGTATTGTATTTAGAATTCGATATCAAGCATTCAAACAGTACAAAGGTATCATTAGTTCATTCAAACACCACAGTGGCTTTAAAAGATTATGTTACTCATTAACATGAAAATATGCTTGTGAAACCTGGTCTCTCCGAGTTGAGGACGTTAGACGACTCTCTGTGTTCGATCATCGCTGTCTCCGAAGGATTGCTGACATTCAGTGGCAACACCATGTCAGTAATGCAGAGGTTCGGCATCGTGTGTTCGGGCACAGAGATGATAATTCACTTGGTGTTATCATCTTGAAACATCGACTTCAGTAGCTTGGACATGTTCTCCGAATGTCGTCCCAGAGAATTCCACGTCGTGCATTATTTGCCGACTCTGGGACTGGTTGGAAGAAGCGGAGAGGTGGTCAGTGTATGACATGGTGTCGGGGTATGAAAGAAAGCTTCAAAGGACTGGCTTCTGTCGGTCCTTCAAGACTCCCTGGTTGGGGTCCGAGAGATGGTGCGACACAGTGGCTAGAGACGTTATCAGATATGGCTCAGGATAGAAGCCAGCGGCGATCCTGCTGTAACCTTCTTTTATTTTCTTCATAAAAGGTGGTTGTGTTTCCCTTACCTGAAAGATTTATTCCGATTGTACCTTTGCGTTCCCTGATTACTAGCACATTACCTTACACCAATCTCTTCGTTATTGTTCTCTCTTTTTTTGTTGCGCTCCTTAGCTTTTTTCTTTCTTTCTTTGTATTCCTCTCGAATTTTCATTGTTTTGTGTGGCGCATATATATTGGCGCTCTCTTGTACCAATATTCATGTGTCCAGATAAATAAATAAATAAATAAGGAAGTGTGCCTGAACTTTTTTATTGTATTGTAACCCATTCGTGCTGATTCCTTAGACTTTTATTTGGGAGCCAAGTTACCACTTGTTTTGTCTTTCAGGTGAAAAGTATTGAGAAGATTTAGGTCGCATTAGATACTAGCTGTAATACACTTTATGTATGTATGTGTATGAAGACCCACCAAACATACAGTTTCTGTATTCTATAGCGACTCACGTGCAAATGAGTTTAGTCTCATCTAACTCAGTTAAGCCCTTTTGCTAACTCATTTAGCGGACAAAGTTATCCGCACTATAACAACTTATTGTACCCTTATTATTTTGTGCTTGTATGAAATACGTATGCTTGAATATTGCTTACGGCCTACGCATTTATTCACTCTGCTAATCTTACTACTAACTGATTATTTGATTCGATCACTCATTCATTTCACATGGTATATATATGTCCATGTTATTCATATTCAACACACTCACTCACACACACACTCTCGTCTCGCTCTTGCTATGGCTCTCGCTCGCTTGCTTGCCTTTCGGCACAACTCTTCTATGCTTGTTTAAAGCATCTGTACATTTGGATATATATGTGTGGTCTCGTAATAAACGTAATCAACACTTCGTATTTGCCTTCTGAATAATATACCGTTGGTACGTTATATAGAACGGTTATCAAGACGAGCTGTATACGAAGTTTAAAGATTATATCGAATACCGACCACCACAATTTGTAATTCTTCATTCGTATCTTGTCTTTAGTGTTATTCCTTTTGCTTTCGGTATAACTCATGCTGTGGTGTGTACGGATTGTAAGACAGATGTGAGCAGTATATATCAGGATATGAAAGTAGATTTCTTATAAACAGAAGAGGAAGGAAAACAGAAAGCAGTCCAAATAACAATATCAATAAAAGTTCGAAGGAGTTTGTATGGGATAAGTCAGTAAATGTGAACAATAAGTGTATTTAATGGATCGCTTTCATCTTTTACCAACAGTGTGTGATTTTGTTTAACACAGTGAATGTGTTTATCAACCAAGATTACTTTTGTCACTATATTACATCTCTTTCGGGTTACTAACAATTATTCATTACATCATTATGGATTTGAAACTGGAGCATTTGATGTCGGACGAGTTTAATACAACAACCAATACCGCTTTTGTACGATCTTTTAAGTTATTACGCAAGAAATTTTGCTAGATGGTATTAAGACAGAGACGTTTCACAATGGTAATGAGAATTTAAAGCAATTAGTCACTTAGATAAATTTCAACAATACCCAATTGGAAAACCTCTATGATCATTTGAGTACTTTAACCCCTACATCCTTTGAGATTTAAAGTTGGATTCAAGCTAAACTAGTGGATATAGAGCACCAGCTTCATTCTCACAGACTGAGGCAGAGAAGCAAATTAACTTCTCAGCATATCAAATCATTACAAGAATTGCGAAATGATGCTGATATTATCATAGTTGAACCTGATAACGTATCAGATGTTGTTGTCATGAATAAGTCCGATTACAAAAGTAAAAAGGAATCTATTCTCAATGATTAAAGTAAATATATGTCCTACATTAACTCTGATGGATCACTTAATTTTTAAAAGAAAGTAAACTCGAATCTCATAAAATTGTTAAATATGAATGCTTTTAACAAAGAGGAGTTTAGTTTATTAAAACCTACGGGTTCTGTGTATTCTAATGATGTGTGTGTCAGAACGATAATTATTGACTGTTTGCTCAGTCAGTCTTGTAGATTGTCTGACAGGTGTTAGATGAGTTATTTATTCTCATGTTCTTATTATTATCGATTGTTGATTGCTGTGAATTTTGTGTTGGTTTTTGGTATGGAAATATATTTACGTTCTAGTCAGGCTAATCACGTGTTCGTGATCTGTTGGAGTCCTAAAGAATAGACTCTAGGAGGGAATCTTGTGTAGATATTCGTCTAAGGTAAATTAACGTCTCATTCGTGCAGACAAAGAAAACCGATCGTTATAACACTTAGTTTATATGAATCACTAAAAATCCATAAATCCAATACCCCTTTACATCAATTCTATCAACGTGTCGATCATCTACATACAATCTTGCAAAATGGCTCACAAAAGTATCAAACCCCATCCAAAATCAATTTTGTGAATATTTTTTTGAATGACTCACTTAGACTGATTAAGTTGTGGTGGTAAATAAATCCCCAAATTAAATAGCTCTGTAAGTCTTGGACATTCGATGCTGACCACATTAGTTTTAATGGACTAACTTGGCTGAAGGCGCTCGGTCATGCATCCGCACCAGATCACGAATGGGAACACCGTGCTCAACATCCCTTGCAATCGCTAGCAAGCCAAGATTGGTTGATCCTCGATATATTTGAAGATGCCACAGGTATTTAGAGTTTGACAACGCTTTAACCAGTAACAATTTCTACTATGAATCGCACCCTCCAAATGAAATCAAAAGATAGAAGCGAGGAAGTTCGGAGAAATATTTGATGGGTTATCAATATATCGTGGATCGACTCATCTAATCTGGCTAGTGATTGCAGGTGATGTTGAGCACCGTGTTCCCACTCGTGATCTGGTGCGGATGCATGACCCAGCGCCTTCAGCTAGGTAAGTTCATTAAAACCAATGTGGTCAGTATCAAATGTCCAAGACTTACAGAACTATTTATTTTGGGGATTTATTTACTGCTACATATTGATAACCTATCAAATATAACTTCGAACCTCTTCGCTTCGGTCTTTTAATTCCACTTGATGAGTACGATTCATAGTAGAAATTGTTACTGGTTAAAGCGTTGTCAAACTTTAAATACCTGTGGCATCTTCAAAGTACTTAATCGATAATAATTTGAAACTAAGACAATATGCGCTTTATTTACGAATGTACATTTTAGGAAGGCTGATAATACTTTATGTGACCATATTTCATTAAATAACATTCCGTTGCCAATTTCTGTTAAAAACCCTTAAAGATTTATTACTATTATGTACTGACAATGTGAAATTCATTTTTGAGGTCAAGCGCTTTCGACAAATCGATGGCGTAGCTATGGGTAGCCCTTTAGAACCGTTGTTGGCCGATGTGCTTATGGGATACGTAGAGAATTTAGCTGAAGACTCAATTCTGAAGATGTGTCTGTATAAGCGGTACGCGGGTGATATAATCAAATGTGATAAACGTGTAAATGTTATCATAAACCACTTTTTATAATCAGAATGAGAGACTATACTGCTGTTTAGTATATCTGTACTTTGGTTGAAAAATGTAGAGCTCGGATATGCCATGAGTAATGAACTCTAACATCTCTTATATTATTTAAATTATGACAGTTTATACCAATTGTTAACATGGAAATATAAGAACGTGGAACTGTTACGCACTTAAGTTACAGATTGAAACCTCTCTCCACCGGATTCGACTTAGGCTATCGATTATTATCGTTAGCCCTTAAACATAAAAGATGCACATTGCTGTTCAAAGTTGAGTTAACAAATTTTTTATTGATAAATGAGTTATTTTATTATCTCGATTTAAACGAAACAAATTTTATTTATTTATTTTAAATGATTAAAACGAAACAACATATTGATTTACCAACACGGATCATATGTTTGATAGGGATCAATTTCATGCTTTATTTCGAACGAATAACTAACTAAATACATGATAGAAATAAGTTGACTTTTTAGGAAAATGTAATAATAAAATATTAAAACACCGTAGATGCATGAAGTAAAATGACAGAAAACAGATAAAGGATAGTGCTGAAGAAGGTAAAAAGAAAAGACAACTGTATCACAGTAGAAATGTATACACTATGTAGTCGAGAATTTCCCCCATTTGAGGCAGCATATCTAGTGTAAAAATTTAGTAAATATGAACATCGAACTTTAATAAGCTGAAAAGTATCTTGTTTCTACTGAAAGATAATCAGAGAAAAATGAAAATTTTGATAACACAAACTAAAACATAATGAATATATATCTCTTGAGTATTATATTGGGAAGTATAGCTGAAAAGTCAATCAAACATACACGCTGAAAGCAAGTCAACACATACCCATAAAAGATGATACAAGTACAAACTGAGACGAGCTCATTTAAAGAGTATTCGATACATCAATAAAAAATAGTAAATAACATATGATCCATGAACTCCACCAGGATATCAAGCGTACTATTGCACTATAAACAATTTAGGCACACATAAAAGATAAATTTTGATTACAAACTGATATTAATATATGTAGGTGAAGGGTATAATAATAATTTTGTATAAACAATTTAAATAAGCGCATACTACGAAAACAATTATTCAGATGCTGAATATATTATATAAGAAGGCATGTGGAACAGACAATAAAAATCGTGTATATGAAGAGAGAGAGAGAGAGAAATGAATAAAGTTATCCTAGTATATATAGAAACAAAGAGATCATTGGGAGAATATATATATATATATATATATATATATATATATATATATATATATATGTTATATCACACAGTGGGTAATGCCCATGAAATAACACTTTTATCTGCACTTGAGGTAATGAATGATAATTGATTAGGATGCCAACGTGCTTGTATAATTTTATCCGTATGCTCAGCTAATTGAACACAAGGCAATGGTTGAGATAAATCACCTAAATATTTTGATGGACAATAAGACAAAATTTTTTAAAAAAAAGAGAAAAAAACAGATCATTTAGTTTAATAAATTGAATGAATTGATGATTTGAATATAGGCATTAAAAATACTGGAGCAGTGTATATAGAACTGATATTTATACTGTGAATTTTATAAATAACTAATAAAACCTTGCTATAAAAGGAAAAAAAGATAGACTCATTCATTAAGTTATACAGTTTATTGCAGATTTTATGAAGAGCTTATGGTGAAACATTGGATGTACTATAAAATACTTACGGAGTGAAATAATTAACCATGATAAAAACATTTAAATGATTGGGGATTTATATAATACGTATGAGTTGCAAATATAATTATTTGCTTTTTTGGCAATAAATTTATGCAAACAGTTTTGGACATTTTCAGCTGCATAGGTGTATCGGCTTGAAAACGAAGAAGGTGGTAGTGACTGTATTAGACAGCGAAAGAGCACAATATTACTTTCAACAAACTTATCTCATAACAGATTATTATTAGAATATAATAACTCTAAACGGTAAATTTACATAATCTGAAAATCGACGGTCGATGTATTTCAAATTCTCATGTTTATATTATTATTATCAATGATAAACTATAATTGTTTTTCAGTAAATAGACAACGTTAGATAACAAAAGTTAACCAGTATTTATAATAAACACACAAGGGAGAGAGAAAAAAAACAATAACACAATACATCGATCATACCATGAAAGTCGGTTAATATAACACGTTTGTCATAACTAGCTGATAGTAGGTAATAAGCAGTTGGTGAGAATCGTACACTACGCACTTCATTTGAATGTGGTCTGTATGCATTGATATAACGAGCACCACGTAAATCAAATAATGATATTGTTGAATCCTCATGTCCGCTAGCGAGTAAATTACAATTCGGCTCAACAGTAACTGAAGCAAATGCACTGCCTGAATAAAGAAAACAGATTCAAAAGAACGAAATAACTAGATAATACAATTTGTTATAATTAGATTGAGTTGTACAATCAGTACAATGGAGAATGATTATCAAATGCATGTGGATATAATACTTAAATAGACAGACAGAATGACAAATATACAAAAATAAGCAGATAATCAGACAGAGAGAAAGAAATGGAGCTTTGTGGGCGACTTTTTATATAACAAGAAGTAACAATGAAATAATTCACATTTCATAGTCATGTTTTTTCGTCTGTGGATACGTGGTGTCAAAATGAAGTGCAAGTCTTTCTTCCGAACGTTGCTTTAGCTGAGGATGCGCCCTTAGGTGAAACTGGGTTCGGAGTTATTTTGTATGCTCTTAGAAAATTCTGAATGACTTCCCCCGTCATTAAGTATGTGGAAAACGGTTGAACAAAGTCAATAACGGCTTAATGGAATATTTCCAATGACGTGATGCATTGTCTATTGCTAATTTATGCCTGTTGTTTGAGTGGGGGGTGTCTAGTCATTTCAGCTACTCTCAAATACCGAGTATTAAAAAATCTCCACTCAGGTCAGCCTGGTATGTGGCGCATGAATTCACCGCCACACAACCACGTATACTGGCCACTGGTGGACAGGGACATTAATATTATCTGATACTGATGTTACTTACCGTTAACACTTATTACCCTACCCATTGTTGAATCATTAGACATACGGTACCAAACCATTTGTTGAACAAAATGGTTTAAAAGATATCTCGGTTTTGCTGTCGATGACATTGTTAAATTGCTTACTTCAGATAGATTAACTGTGGTATCTACAAAGCATATTCCATATTTTCCTGCGAACATTTCGTAGACCACCACTATACACACATATGTACGAAGCGACTAAGTAGTGTAAACAATAGTGTAAGATTAGTTATGTATTTTTAACTGTGATTATTTTTTTCCACTTTGCTCAGCTATTCTCCATCCTAGTGGGCAGTTGATTGGAGGTCTACAGACCTCCAATCAACTGTGATTATTATTCAAAAGTACGAACAAACAAAATCAATCGATAGAAATACTTCAAATATGAAGGTAAACAAATGAAGTCCCATTTTACATCACATCTAATATATTTAATCATGGAATGATATACATAAATAATCGATTAGTTGCAGTATATGTTAATACTATTACTTATTATTTATGATAATGTAGGGTAAGAATTTCGGCCTAATAATTAGGTCATACATCCATTAGAAAGAGGGTAACAATTAATTATCTCCATTTTTTCGTCGAATATTTAATGTACAAGAATCAGTTTACAAAAAATAAAAGCTTGTTACACTGGTCAGTCGTATTGCCTTGGTATATCAATGGATTTGACAGTCTTATGTGTCAATAATGTAATCTCATGAGCAGTTGTTACTAGGATACCATATACTCTATTATTATGCATCAATCAATCGATCCTAAATCCAACACTACATTACAGTTTTTATAATGTGATTGCGAAATTTAGAAATTGTGAAATCAACAAAATTTGATGAGTTATTATTTACGTGTAGCATTTTTCATAATGTTTATGATCTTTGGAGGTGTTCTCTTCTCTGAGTTGGATGATTCAACTGTTAAGCTTTCTTTGAACTTCTAGACAACATTATGAACATACAAATTAGCGAATTTGGTACGTAAATAGCAGTGGAAACTAAGATGCATAATAAGTCCTATTTATGATTCGTTAACTGGATCCCGGCACACGGGGACACAAGAAAACTTGAATATTTTACCTTTCGCTTTAAACTTCAACTGAGTTCAGAGAGCCATCAAAATGATCAACAGATATGAAGTTAGTAATAAAGGTTTGTAATTCTCCGTCGTTTATATTAAGCAATGTAACAGAACAGTCTCTGATGACATATGTGTAGTGTGTGTAATGGGAGGATTTCTTCGATATTAGCCTTTAGTTACAAGCTGCACATATAGGTTGAAGGATTTCAGTCAATCCAGTCAGTTATAATGAATGTAGAATATGGTAAATATATAGATCGGTTTAAATTAGATTGAAATTATAGATAAGCACAGTTAGAGGGTAAATTTACATTTGTTTTCAGGAGAACTAGACATCATCCAATTTCTTTACAACCTGGAAAGCAAACCTGGATTCTACAGCTACAAACGTGTACTAATAACTCTAGTGAGCCATTTCTGACGATTGTGTCAGATCACTATTGAACCATTTATAAGAATTCAGTTTCCTAGTATAGTAATAGACGGCAAAACTAACATGTGTACACAGAGATAAAAATAGACAGAACTAACCTTGTGAACCTGAATAAGATGGAACAATTAACACAGGAGCTGGAGCTCGTAAATCCCATAAACGTGCAGTAGCATCTGCACTACCAGAAACGAACAATGAACCAGGACTCCATACAGATAATGAATAAACTGCAGCTGTGTGCCCAGACATTGAACGTACAACATAATTAGGTGGAGTGGACTTCGGTGTAGATAGATCAAATGTTTGGGCTCGATTACAATCAACAAGATAAATACGAGAATCGCCTGCACCAGCACTTAGTAAATGACTACTTGGTGTACTTGTAATTGTATCCGAACATGGATAACTTCCTAACTAGATTTAATTTGTAAAACAAAATAAACAAACAAACAAATTTAAAATACGTTTACTGGAATAACGTAACTTGCTAAAAACTGTTATTTCAATTCACACATTTTGTAATTTAATGTAACTTATTCACCATACAAATGTTTGCGTAATTGACTTTGAGTCACACTACTTCGAGTATGAGGGCTAGTGATACAGTTAGACTGAGCAAACCGAAAGTGATGGGGGGATTTGGACTTGTAATTTATTGGTTAAAAGTTGTGTGATCCAGTCGTTATAGCAACGTTTTACGTTATTATTATTTACTGGCAACACGGTAGATTACAGGATTTAATTCGGTGTTTAAACAACTAACTTTTATCGATTGCAGTAATTTGATCAGATAGTGAGGTAGCGTAATTATTTGTGTTTGAAACATAATCAGAGACTAATCGATTCATTATGAAATCGTTTGTAACAGTAGTAAGTTTTAGTATGAAATTCGTGGATAAAAATAGATAAGCGGATTCCACTACTTAGACGATAAATTCAAACCGTTTTCTGAAGGTGAATCCATGAGTCAATCGAAGCAAGGCCCCAATTGAAAACCTGGAAGCGCTGGGCGGTCGTTTTGTCTAAATATGCAACCCTTCAGAAGCGCGCATCCATGGCCCCGTATGCAGGACTCGAACCCAGGGCCTTTAGTTTCGCACGAGAATATACAATGTTCATTAATTAAAAGAGATCTGTATGGATAAGAAGTTGACAGTGATGAATGCATTATTTTTAAAGAATTGATACGGAAAAAATATAGGCAGATTGCAGACAGTGATTGTGATATCTGAATATAATCATACTTTTGAATATTTTTTTAAAGGAAATTGTTATCAAGTACTGTAGTGATTTCGAAATGTACTGTACTGTAGAAGAAATAGAATTCTTTCTATACTGTTTAGAATTTCGACTACAGAAATAAAAGATGATTATTGTACAAAGAGTTTACATTGTTTTACATGTTTGATAAAGTAATTCCATATAATTAATTTTGTAGTTTAATATTTATGAGCGTCTTATTTGATATACATCACATATATTCAGGGGAGATGTATAGAAGCACAATTACCAGTAGTATGTCAAATAGACACCAGTAATCAACTATAAGACATCTGAGTTCGCATGATCTCAGTTGATTTATTTAATTTATATGCAGTTTATGTTTTCTTATTTTATTTTACAATACAAAGTTGTAATAAACAAATAGCCAGACAAAAATGAGTGCACATAATTTATTGTAATACCATTGTCTCGATTTTTTATAAGAAAACACATAACATAGTCGGATGACTACTGTAGGTCGTCTTGTGTTCGAACGACTTAAACTCACTACAAAATTATTATACCGTAAAATAGTTGGTTTGACAATTGAATACCAACAAAGAATTGTCAATTTTAGTCGCATCTTTATTGATTAATAAAAACACAGTTCGTTGTTTAAAATACCTGACTTCATGGTCAACCTATCATATGACAACTGTTTAAAGAAAGTATTATGTTACAGTTAGCGACACACTTATTTTTGATCTATTTTCTACTATATCAAGTAGCCTGAATCAATGACAATCAAAATAGTATCCTGAAAAACTTACTAGAAATGCAATATCTCGTACTGTACCATCATGATATCTTAGTTCAATGGCTTGTCCAGCGGTACTTGCAATTTCTGGATCACCACAAGCAGCATCTGGTATGCCAGTTGTTGGATCCATTTGAAGTAGGCGAATTGTAGTGTCGTTACTTCCTGTTGCGATAATACGACCATCTGGACTCCAAGCAACACAATATATACTACCCTTGTGGTATTTTTGACGCCTCATTAGAACTACCGGAGAAGTAGCTACATGATTAGCACTACAAGAAAAAAACATTAAAAAATATTTACTGGATGACAAAAATTATCTTCACTTGGGACGATCATTGGAGTGTAATAGGTTCAACGAATAAATAGAACTAATCACATGTTTGTTAGTTACTTTTAGGTCATGAAAAAAATTTTATGGACTTGAACGTAAAGTCATAGGGAGGTAACCGAAACAGATAATAGGATGAAAAACTACGAGAAGAAATGTCGGTCTACTTAAATAAACGGATGATAAATAACAGGGATGAAGATCACTACCGTGTAATATTCACTACACATAAGAAATACATATAACAGATAATACGACGAGAAATTAAAATTGAACAGATCATATAATAGATCATTTGTCAAATGTTTTTAGATATTCAAATGATCACGGTAGTATGTAAGTTTATTATCCATGTCATATAAGCTTACACAGTGAAGTGCTGTACATTAATATTTGCGATTATAACATGTATAACCTTAGAATGTTCACATAGAAGCAATGTTTTTCTACTTGTGTGTTAATTTTTCTTGTCATGGATCAATCAGTGGTAATAGTTACCCAAATCACCTCGATTTCAAAGTGAACCAACAGGTCCAACGTACACACTCATTAAAAAAATGGAAGTAAAGCTTGTTCACAAACTCACCTAAGGTGCTGTAAACTAGGATATTGGCATACACGTAAAAATTTACTATTCGAACCGACAGCATATAATCGTCCAGATGGATGAAATGCAATACAACGTATTGGTTGACTATCTTCTAAAATTGTTACAGGTATGTAACGTGGAGTTTGAGGACTGTTATCAGAGGTGTCTGACACTTCACCATTAAGTTTACATGGTCTATCCATGTCAGTACGTTGTGCCTGTGGTTGTGAGGAAGAATTAACTATAGATGGTTTCTCATTTATATTAGGTTCAATAGTTTCAGACAGCTGAGTAGGATTTTTTGTAGCTTGACTAATGATCTGTATAAAAAGAGAAAAATGAGTTAGTTGACAAACTAAACAAACATAAGATGCTTCAATCGATTTTTCTAACATCACGGATGTTGAATCCAAGAATGAAATACAACTTGTCATCAGACAAGTTTATTAAACGTTATAACTTTTTTAAATCCACTTATTTAGAGTAAGTACATTCTGGAGCGACAGAGCACCAAAAATATGCCCCACACAAATAAGATAGTATTTTGAATAACTAAAGAGAAGAAGGGTAATAGTAGTACTATCACTTAAGAAGTTAACAGAGATAATATTTATTAAGTTTCATTTAAATATAAAGCCAAGGAAAGCTTCTACCAGTTTGTGAAACCCATCTTACTATGAAAATTGTAGTAGGAAACTACAGTAAGGTTGCCACTGGCTTTTATTTTGAGCCTTATCTAATAGCAACTCAAACTACTGAGTTGCATTATCTTCAGGACCCCATTCAGGTCCCGATGGACTGACAAATGCTAGTCTTATATACCTAGCTTTCGTACCACGACACCATGTCATAAACTAAACAAGCCTGCTATTTCTTCAATCCATCTTAGTTTCTTCAATTAATCTACAAAATGTAAGCCACTGAGATGATATCTGTAAAACACATGTGTAACAGTGCTTGATAGGAACAAATGAGATAGGTGAACCTTGTCCTGTCTCATGTGTTTGCGTACAGAGCCTTCAAGATGTCAATAGGGTAGACAGCACTATCGACACATGGACGGAAAACCGAGAAAAAAAGACAAAATAGTTTTAAATAATTATAGGTGGAGTGAATGTATACTTTGGTTTCATGATTGGATTATGAAAGAAGTAAAAAGTCGATGAATAGATTACTTGGGATAACATAACTAAAGTCAGACCAAAATAGTGTAAACGATTGACTGTTTTTAGATATCTGGCAATAAATCCAAGATAGCTTTTTACATTTTATCAGTTTATTACCCATTTATTGATATTCACGATCATATTTTACAGAATTTCATTTATTATCGTACTATATATAATAACTTAGATCTATGTAACAGTTGTTGTATTTATCTGTCCGTCTGTCACTTCATCATGATCAAGTTGGAAGATAAAGTGGTCAACTAATAACATTTCTGAAATTGATTGATCATATAAAATAAGTAGAAAGAAAATAGTTTACGATTAAGAAGAGAATATCTATAAATGAACCCCGATAATAAAATTAAGTAGTCAAACGAGACAAAAATATGATTCTTTGTAGGATTTAAATCAGTGCGGGATTATAGGTGAAAAAGAGAGGTAGTATACAATGAATTATATAGATATGATAAATTTGCTTGAATGAAGTTAGAGTAGTTGACTGTTACAGGCTGATAAATCATAAGTTACAGAGATTTAGATAAAAATTAATAATTTTTATATGAAAGTTAAATAATAAGTAGGCAGAAAAATAGATATTGATGAAATAAATTGGCATAAAATTTCTAGTTAAACCAAAAGATTTGAATTAGAAATAATAAGATGAACACTGAATGTGACTAAATGACAACAAATGATATTAATTTTGCACAACATTACTACCATGTTAAGTCATCAGACATGAGTAATTTATATTAGTCAAATAAACCGACATATTAACAATCCTTTATAAGTCTAAGAGAAATCAATAATTTTGTGAAATGGTGGTATTGTTTTAGATTATATTTAATCTGCATAATATGAGTATTTGCAAGTGATAACGCTAGGCTACACATAATCCAAAGCCAATTAACTAAGGAATAAATATATATGCCTGCTAAAACCTTTAAAATTTTCAACAAAATATTTTTAGTAAAGTTCTTTGGTCTAGATAATTTATTAGGGAGATTTCATTGTCGTTCTTGACCTCATCAGCGACTAATTTATGTAGAAATGAGCTTTTCAGTTATTGGACAAATGTCATCGTGGGTATTGCAGTATTTACTTGTTTTTGCACTCATGTATATTGTGTTTTTTCCGCTGACTTACGATTAATTGATTTTTGCTACAACAGGGGTTGATAGACTGTATCTTTTTCAGTGTCTACTGATTGAGGATCTATAATTGAAAAGCTCATTTTTACATAAATTAGGTCCTGATGATGTTGTTCAAGACAAAATTCAAGGCTCAGAGAACTCAATAATACCAAAATCAATCACCTGAACCGCAAAATTTTTCCATCGTTTCAAGAGCTACAGATTAATGAAATAGCCTTATCCACTTGATGATTTATATACTCAATAATGACAAAACAAACGATAAAGAGGTGATGCATAGAAGATAAAAACACAAAAAGACAACAACTAACAGGTGTAACTGGACATGACTGATCTTCGCTATTAGCACCGGTAGTAGTATCGAGCACTTGAGCATTTTCTCTATCAATACGACGTTTTTGAAATTCATGCAATAAATCACCAGCATGTGAACCGAGTTTATGACCATCTTTATCTTGAATATAATGAAAATGATAATTGTAAAGACTTTAAACTCCAAATAAAAAATACACAAACACAAAAACAAACAAAGAAGTTATACGATAACACGTGGTGATTTGATGTGTAACAAAACCCATAATGCCTAACAAAGTTTTAACGAAACTCACTAAGAAGAAAAGGACAAATTGTGTTGTAGAAATTTCTGTTGTCCAATACTGTCAGTTTACAACTAACTCACCCACAGTTTAAGTCATAAAAGTGAACGGAGTAGTAGTATTACCGTTAGTGTTAACCAACTGACTCAATATATCATGTCCTCATATCCACAAAATTGGCCTGAATTCCTATGCGACCGTATTAGTAGATTGAATAACTTTGGTAATCAGACTCGATCTAATGGATTCAATATAGCAACACAAAATATGAAATGTAGATTGACCCTAGTAACCTAGATACAATATTTAACTAGTCTAATAAACACAAAACCATGTGGGAACAATCCATTTAGCCATAAATATTTGTGATAAATCTTCTGACTGAACGCTTGAATAGGTTTCCTAAGCTCTTTTAACAACCCCAGGCCAAATCTATACAATAAGTTGAACACGAGAGAAAAGGCGCGAAATATAGACAGAACGCTTTACTTCAAGGTTAATTTATGTACAGAAAATTGAGGGTGCTTATAGCGATCCAGATGACCTTGAGCTTCTGGATAGATAGTCATCCGATCAGAAATGTGACACGTGACTCTTTACTTTTTGAGAAGCTTCTATTCAATACTGACCGGATAAAATGTTTCCCAGCGTTTTCAGGGCCCTTTTGGGTTGTTTTCGGGGAATACTCTGGGTTTTCTAAAAATTTGCTCTCGAGATGACAACATTATATACTTGTAAATGGTATAACGATCGGAAAAACTTGTAACATTTTAGGTAGAATTTTATTTAATACACTATCCTTCACAATACACAATACTTCTATTTTCAAATGGATGAGGATGTATGCAAAAAAGCCATTGGGATAAGACGAGAAAATGAATGAAGAGAAAAGCGAAGAGACAAAATGAAAAACATGTCTAATCTAACCGGTGTGGTGGTAAAATATGACATGGAGATGTACAGACACACACACACACAAAGATAAATTTTTCTGTGTAAGGACAAACGAATGACCAATAACCAGATCATGATAAACTACGATCACATAACCAGCCTTTTGTCGATTATTGATGTCAGCATAGTCATTATATATATATATATATATATATATATATATATATATATATATATATATATATATATAAAATAGATTCTCTGAGTCAAATAGAGTAGCAGCACCCAATATGCAACACCAATCCACTCTATCTCTTGAATAAAGAAACTAATCTGAAATAAATTATGAGATAATTGAATCTCTGAAATTTTAACGATAATGTCTAAAACGTGATGTGTTCATTTATGATCGACAGATATATCAGTGAACAGTTGTGAAACAAATGTTCGGGAAATACTGATCAATAGGCATGAGTACTTGATGATCACTTGTTTTATAAGTTGGCAATACTCGGTATTTAGCTCGAATTAATCTACTTCAGAAAAGTTAATCTTACTGTAATTTTAAATCATTCAAGAGCTTATCGAAGTTGGCTTTAAGTATCATGAAACAACCTTTTAAAAAAGCATAGATTAACTACCTTGTCGGGCTTAATGAGACAAGTGTTTAGTAATTAGATCTGGAGGTCACAAACTTACATCAAATTGATGGTTTAAATTACTTGAATAACAACTGAAATACGTTGAAGAATTACAGATATATTTAAAATCAATGGATGGATATTTTGACCTAGACTGGGATTCCTCAGAAATCAAGATATTAGGTATTATCTAGGTGAGGATAGATGTCTTTAAGTGAAATCGAAGGACAATTATGCTAAGCCCCGAATCCCCACAGTTGAATGACGCTAGCGATACTAACCTCCCAATGCCCTGGTACGGTAGAGAGTGTTGAGAGTTCACATTCTTTCGAAATGCTCACACTTGGTCCACGTATACAGCCACTGATAGGGAAGTCCTACTCACTACCTTTTCGCCGCAGGGGTGCTGTTTACGACATTGAGAGGATAAAAAGCGAATGACCGGGGCTTGAAACCGGGTCAGTGAGTAAGGAGGATTCAACTAGGGGAGTTGGAAAACCCTGATTCCAAACTAATGATGCACATGGACTCCAGGATCCTGAGGGAACAAATGGGGTATAAACCTATTGTTGGTCACAAAATACCATGGGATCGCATCTCTTAACGTTGCTCCATTGCCTTGTGAATTAGATCTTGAGATCAAAGGTTTAGGGAGTGACCCTATAAGAGAACTACAAGCTTCGGTTTGGTCACCCGGGCACTACATCCCAGCCTTTATACAAATCATATATGGTGCATATATATTTTGGTGCCACTTTGTAACATTATGGGTTTGAATAAATAAACTGGACGATGAACAAATGATAACCTTTATTTAGTTCTTTGCTCAGTTTTAATTCATTTTAGAGATGAAAGATAAGCGCCTGAATGAAAGTTTTACCAATCCCAACAAGGAAATTGATTCGATTTTCATGATATTCAACAAAGATATTAGGATTATTGAACAAATATGCTTGAAATTTCTTTTAGTTTTGCATTATATATATGTATAAACACAAAAACACAACACACTCACCACTTTCTATATCGATAATAATTGAACTTTGCATTGATGCAACCATCTCTTTAGGTGATAAACTACCAGACATTGTTCTATTACATGGTGATGAAGATGATGGAGACTTCCGATGACTGGTAGTATCATCAACACTGACAGATTGTTTCACTGCCAAACGATCATTAGTAACAGGATCAAATGATGAATGAGGTGATTCTTCTGTAATTGATTGCATTTGACCTCCTGTTAGAGCAGTAGAACGAGATAATAACATTGAATTTCGTACCGTTGTGGATATGTTATGTTCATGATGATCTGCCATAGAACTATTCATATCTGTTGAAGTAGATGATATTTGACCATGTAGTGAAAATAACCGGTCCACTGAAGCTTGCATACTGGCGGAAATATTGGCCGATTCTAAATTGGCATTTTCATTAGTGTTTTGATCAGCTGAAATATTTTGTACTTTATCTTCTGACATAGTATTATTATCTTGTGAATTTGTAGATGCAACTGTTTGGTTGGAATTAGATTTTTGATTTAAAAATTGTAAATTCGGATTAGGTGGAAGACGAAATCCAGACAAAGAATGAGTCATTAACCGAGGCTATAGGAAGAAATAAGTATGAAAGAACTTATATGGAAATCTGATGAATTAAAAATCTAGGCTATATTGGAAGAAAGAATGGCTGATTAGATCATAAAGAAATCCCTCTTGATGTAAAGTATCATATCGAACCCAGATGAACCAGAAGAGGGTTCGTGGGTAGAATATCATATAAGCTAGAAGATACGAACAGGTTTTGACGTCTTACTCCCAAAGAAAAAGTAAATATTGTTTGCTCACATCATTGGACTCAAGCCTCAAGTAGTGGCACATACTGGGGATTACTGAGCTCAAAACTGTGGCCACCAGGAAGAACAGACAAACGACGGGAATGGGGTGGATATTCAAAAAGAAGTATAGATCGGGAACAAAAATTAGGTGCTTATTCACATACACAAAACTAAATAGTCTGTGTAAGTTCTTTCTACACTTTTGATATGAAGACAATAATTTAGCGATTCACCGATAAGTTACCCTAGAATGGAAACGATATCCAGTAAAACCAAAAGAGTTCAATTAACTCAACTACATGTACAAATAATCTTAAGCGAAAATTTGTTGAAAAATGTATGCTATTCCCCAAGAATACAACTAAACTCAACATAGAAAGGAATTTTAAATCCACCATTTCGAATTTTAAAACCACGAGTGTATATTTGAATCAAGTGCTCCAAAACTCGGGTTTTCGATGGCTGATTAAATGCAAGTTTTTAGGAACTTGTGCATCTCCCAATAGTTTAGTTGTCAGCTACCGTTTAAAGTGTTATTTGTATTTATTTATGTCTTCTTGTTACCACTTTGTATGGTCTAACATTGTCCATAACTAATTGATGTGATTGAGATCAAAGGTGATAGATGTGAGAAAATTCGACATGGAAAATCCATCTTAAATGGAATACACGTGATTTTTTTCATAGTTTTCAGTTTAAGTAGACAACTCATACGAAAATCTTTATCTACCTTATCAGTCAAATTCGATATTAAAAAGCGAGGAAATGAAAAGTGGCATATATAAGAAAGCTTACACCACGTCGAGATAAATTTGGTAAACCAGAACTCCGAATAACTGGACGCAAACCTGTATTGATACCATTATGATGATTGATGTCATATTCACCGTTAAGTTCATCATTTTGTAATGACGGTGGATTCATGCGTAAGAGACCACTGGAAAGTCCTTCATAAGCAGGAATAAGACTTCGCATTAATTCACCACTAGGTCCTTGAAGATGGCCTCTTTTTAAAGCTGGATTATGTATTGATAATACTGAACGCTGAATACTCGATCCCATTATGGTATTTGATTCTGGTATGTGAGTATAAGGAAATACGAGTGGTTTCACAGTAGGTTGAGTTAATATATGTTCTGGCCATAAACTAGATTCAAGTGTTGGTCGATTAATTGGTTGTACTTTCAAATCTAATTCATATGATTGGAATGGTTGACTAAAATTCACTGGTTTCAATGATTGAAGCCATGAATTTAATGATAAATCCGGTGCAACGGGTTGACGACAATGACTATGTGCTCGTTGATTTATTTCATTGTTTTGTGTAGTATGTAAAGAAATATTCTGATTGTAAAGACGTTCAGTTTCTTCTTCTTCGTCTAAATCACCTAGAAAACACGCAGAGAGAAAGACTATTTAATTATGAAATAAACAATATATCGATTGTAAAAGTTTAGTGGAATCGGCAGCTTTATATCTATTGGGAACATCAACATTTATTATTATTATTATTATTATTATTATTATTATTATTATTATTATACAGTGTTTAACATGGTCTTCATCGACATTAGCTAGGATTATTGAAAACTAAGGTCAATTAGTCAAAAGCAACGTAGAACTTAACGCATATATGTGTCGGTCGACGCTGCAGTACAACATCATTACAGCGAGACCAAGTTATCAAGACAAATCGCGAAGCAGTAGCAGTAACGGTATTAGTGACAATATAAAAATTAAGGATACACAATATGTTTCAAGAGAAAAGAATGAATTGGTGAAATGAGAAAGATGATTTTAAAACTGAAGATTCAAGGTGAAGCAAAGAGTGAATATATCTGCGTCAGTAAGATCGATTCTGAGAAACACCAAAGTTTCTAACCATTGGTTATGACAATCAAACGGATCTCAATGAAGTAGTCTGCACCTACCGAAATAGCTCAGTTCGACAGTCAATTACTTTATGAATTGATGTTACGTTTTGGTTTGATCACTCCTTTCAACCAACTCTTACATAACATCAAGGGGTATTAGAGAGTTTTTTAGGCAAAACTTGGAACTTCTTACAAATAGAGTGTATCTACGATCCAACTCATAGGATCGCAATCCAAAGTGATAATAATACCGAAGTTTGACAGTCCTAGGAGGGAACTTGTTATTCGATTATATCTGAACTTCAATCCTTTTCCTTTTAACGTTTAGTGTGTCATGAGAATAATCATTTAAAATAAACAGAAAAATTCAGCTAAACTATATGATGGTTTGGCCTACAAATGTGGAACGATGAAGAATAACCAACAATTTTGATACAAAATTGAATATGTATCCACTTAGTGTCAATGTGTCGTTCTATAGTTCCTTGCAATCTAATAGAAATCAATGTAACAAAAAATATTGACCTGAATGGGAAAGAGAATGATAACTATGATGTAGTAAGAATCAAAATGTAGATGTAAGTAGTTAGAGTGATCATGTTTATGAATAATAAAATTATTTAACAAAGAAGGACGATTAAAAGTTTACGTTCTATAAAAATAAAATATAACGAAATAGTAACTATGAGGACAAAAAATATGTTCATAAGTAAAGAGTACAAATTATGCAAGAAATTATGATTGAGATGACAAATGGGGATAATTGCTTTTTTGACTGCGAAGGTTAGACGTTAGTTGTTCAACAGTTATGACCTGATAAAAGAACAAGTACAGTTGAATCAACTTGGTTATACTAGGAATTTTAAGACTTTGAAATGATGCCCTGCAATTAAATAAGCGATTAACAAATGCATCCGTCGAAGATTTATGCACTTTTGAGTTCTAGATGTTTTGGGATGAACAATACATTTTAGTTTTAAGATAGGTACTTTAGTTTGTACACTTGGTAATGACATAAAAAATGTGTTATTGGATTTGTCATATAGAGCCTCTTCAATAGATAGTGACTAGTTTAACAGGTAGACAGGTCGTTTTTAGTGTAACATTTATTCTACGGTCGATTCATCTAGCTGTTAAACCGGATGTCCTTAGGTACTATTATGGAGCTAATCGAGTCATGAAACGACTAGTGTATAACATTGTGCTGTGAGCAGTTCGGTCTTATGTTTGAGTCAAAACAAAGGAATAATCTATGAATAGTTCGGATCGCGCTGGATTGCATGACTTGGGATGATTAGTGTAGTCTAGTGACGACTACTCATTAAATCCGAGTTTATTGATATAATAGGCGTTATAAACAAAGTCTCCTTGTATAAAGAATTCGACACAAACGTGATTCAAATCCATTTAAAGAGTAAATGACAGTAAGATTATAGCTTTGTAGATAATTCACAAGCCTAGAAAATCAAGGTCTAATTATCTGATGCACATGTTGACTAACAGATGAACGCGTGAAAGCTGATCATTCTGAGTATGTCTGATAAGACTCTACATTATGTCGCTGATATCTAAGGATAATCACTTTTAATAAGATCATATAGGTTCCAGTGACATATGATCCACGATAGCTACAGTATTTAATATCATGATTCAACAATGATTCTTACACTTAAGAAGTAGCTTATATTGTTTATGAAGATATTAAAATGTCAACCTAGCTGCATTTATATCGAATACTATTTGTTGTCACTAGGACAAGGTTAAAAGAGATTTTTTGGTTTATGAGTGCATATAATCTAATTGTGTTGGACATCATTTGTCATCAAAAATAAAATAAATAAAATCCTCACTACTTTTGAAACCAATGTACACATAAACAGGATATATTTTTTAACATGGTTATTTTTATATTCATCGATAAGTCAATGTGGATATCTACTGTTGAGTAGGTATCTTTTGACAATAGCATATTATTCTAAAACGTTTTTGAATACATTTGAATTGGATCTTCTTCAGCTGGAATAAAAATAGTTGTTGAATGAAAAATGAATATTTTACCCAGCAAATACCCATATATGAGGTACAGATCCTCAAACCAAAGACAGTAAAGTTAGAGCTGGAGAAACGCTAGTTGAAAGACCAATACTGAACGCAAAATATAAAGCTCCGCATTTATCACTACACTTATTGGAAATTTAAGTAAAGGGGTTTTGTGGAGGTTGGTTCAATTTGTAGATATTATTCGTCACAAGTTGATTACATTTACAGTATCACTGAAAACCAGGGACTACCAGACAGCTGCTTCACTGTAGTATGGAACTCCCAAGCAGTGTGAATCGACAACTTTTCTAAGGACTGAACCCAGGATCTTCAGTTCTCGTGAAGAACGTCTAACCATCAGAGCCTATGGAATGGCATCCAGTGATATACTTTCAACTTCAATTTATTTGTTGTCATCTAATACCACTAGTGATCATTTACTGATGACCAAACAAACTATTTTGTCAACAAATACACAAACCTCCAAGCATTCCAGTTATCTGCATTTGAGCTTTCCGTTCTGTTGCCATAAGAGCACAGTAATCTACACAGGCTTCGTATAGTAAACCTTTAACAAGTAATCGTAAAAGTCGGTCACCACGAGCATTTTCATCAGTTGATGCCTGGCCACTAGATGAATGTTTACTAAGTTGAATAAATGGTTGCAAGAGCGGATAGATCTAAATTGAAATGTTTTCAAAGAAAAAGAGAAATAATAAAAGAAACAAAGAACAATAGAAAGGAAACCCACTAGTCTTTTAAAAAAATTTAAAATTAGGCATTAAATGTCTCAGCACACAGATTTATGTACTAAAAAAAGAACACTGGTAACTCGCTTCATGCATTGTCCCTCATTTTACAACATCATTTTTAATACTTTCAAATCTATGATTTTACTTGCACACTGAATAATCTCAAATGACGTTATTGTTAGCTATTTCATTAGCTCTGTGATCTTAGAATGCTCAGTGCAGGAGGAAAAGTCGGAGACTAGAGAATAAATTGCGTCGGAAATTGGAGGTAGATATTTAAAAAAACGAATACCATTTGGTAATAACTGGAAAAGATAGTCCAGGACAGAGTTGGTTGGAGAATCCTGGTGGGTGGCCTATGCTCCATGAGGGGTAACAGGCGTAAGTAAGTACGCAATTAGTTTTAGCTATTATTTTGATGTTATAGAATCTTTGCTTTCGCCTAATATAACTTAGTAATAAAGGACGAAGTCGAAAAAGTTTCGAACCTGATATTTATTTAAAGATGAAAGATACTATTGCGAGCTACCCAAACAAAACAGAAATGAAAGAAGCTATAAAAAATGTTACTCCACATACACAAAGTGAAAAGCTTACACAAAATATCATTGATAGATCAGACGATTCCAAATAGATCACAGGCTATCTCAAGGCCACTTGAAAATGAGAAATGCAACTGTAGACAACAGATTGTGAGTAGGCGAATTATTCACCTAGCCGAGGTTACCACTTGTTATAACTTGTGAACCTGTGTGCCCAGTTTATTGTATAACACAACGATACCGCCAATCAGAGAGCAGCGAACTATCGACCGAACCATGTGCGAGCAGAGAATAAATAACCAAGAAGTGACTTACACTAAGTCACAAAACATCAGAAAATCTAATTTTTCTACTCATTGGGATATTACAAATATATCATTAATTTATAACAATCTACCCAATGCTCAATTTATTCGAAATTATCGAGTCAAACCTTGGTAATGATACCTATAAAATGGACGGTTAAGACTTAGGTGAAATCACTACAACTAAATAATCCCTGTTAATTTGTGTTTTTATATTTGTAGTTATTGCTTGTCCCAAAGTGAATTATACGAAAGTGTTATTACATGTGAAATAATTTCACAGTATGATAGATTCATCTGAAACACTCGTCAAGGAGAAGCTGATATCTTTGAAAGTACTGATGCTACCATATATCACTCCTAGTATATTTTGATGGATACCGCTGGTTGACTGTTGTTACACATAGTCTACATAACGATAATTACTACTCAGTCAACCATTGTATTTCGCCCATTTCCCGCTGCCTTCTTCAGCAGTTTTACGTAGACAGCATTAACTAGTGTGATTTTTTTAAATGGTTGAACATGTATTTCTAAATATTTAATAAATATTTAGCATCATTTTTTATCCCATAACAATCATTAGACTAGCAGTTATAAACATGCTGATGTCTCATATTACATTGAAATGAATTGATAAGCAATCTTTCTAACTAGCCATTCAAGCCAAAATGTGACATAAAAAGGGCATAGAAACTAGTTTTTCTAACTACATGCTAAACAACATGCATAGAAAAGTGGTTGTTACTGAGAAGTAGAAAACAAACAACGTCAACTATGCTATTTTATTACTGTTTGAGCATAAATCTTAACTATCCGCCAGTTTTTATTTACACAAACTGAAAATAATGCTGAAGGCAGCAGGAGATGAGTGAAGGAGGGGTGGGCGAAGAGAGATTTAATATAATTATTTATCAATATTATTAAAACTAACCTGATTAAAGCATTGTAAACGGCCTAAACTTGGATTCCAATAGCGATAATCCGGATGTTGGTCTAATCGTGTTAAAGTTAACAAAAGAGTTAAATCACGATATTCTGCCTGAGTTTCACATTCAGGTTCTAACTGTTTCAAACAATCAATAACCTGTTGTTGTTTTTTTTAGAGAATAACAAAAATAATAATAAAATAATGTGTTATTTATAAGAGAATAATGAATATTGTACATTGATAAATAATCTATTGTGGGGTTTTTGATGCATTCCTCTTTAAATCTAATTTATTCAAATAAAGATAAACAAAACGTATAAAAAACAATTCAATAATGCCTGTAAAACTACAGAAATTGTATAGAGTAACCATTATTGTTAAAACAGATAGTCTCAGGAGCATTTTTAATGAATCCATGTTAACAGATCAAGTAAAAATTAGATTAACTCAATGTAATTAGTTTGTAGTTTACAAAAAAATATACAGATGTAGGACAGGATAATAGAGCATTGATTAACGTAACTATGTTAAGTGAACCGATAACATTTAATTATATAGCTTGAAATTGATTCTAGGTTCTAGTAAGGTGAAACACAATCTTGCAACACAAACTAACCTGTTCAACACCATGATCTATATTATTTTCGTTAACATTAACACCGGTAGTCCCATTAGCTGAATTATTCCCATCCAAGTTAGTTACATCACGTAGACACAATAATTCTAGATACTTATGTTTTAATAATAAAAATCGGGGCTTCCTAAGATCTAACGCAACAGGTGGACCTCGTAATGGTTCCAAATAGTCAAGTGCATCGTCCCACTACAACAACAAAAAACGAGGAAATAATTGTTAGAACAACTTGATACATTAATAAACTTATCGCGTACAAATAAGGATAATCAAACTGATAATTAGCTCATAGAAATTATTTCTAAATCATAACTGAAAACAGAAACATTCAGAATACAGAACCACATAATAAGGAATTTAGGCTATCATTTATTTATAAACCAGTTAACCAAAAAATTGAGTTATTTATCTGATAATAAGTAATTAACCAGTATAAAAATGAAAGTCACCGAATAAATAGCAACCAATGGTTTATCACTTCTACATAAAATAACAATGTATGGTTGCATTTTATCTAAAATTATTATGTCTCCTCCAAATCCGAACTGAATCGACCGAAAAATGGATTGCTTTTCTATTATTATTGTGATGGACATTACTTACAAGATAGCTTATAAATAGCATGCAACCGAGCGCCCCAGTTGCTGTAGTCGACAGCCGAAGACAGGAGTCTCAGAAAACAAAAGCACGGTAAGTTCGAAATACTTGAGAAACCAGAAGAGATGTCATTGAAAACAGTCCACAACTAGCGTGAATTGCGGAACACACAATAGATACAAATGGAAAACTGAAGATGAAGTGTATATATTTCACAAGCAATCGGTGTTCCCCCTATATATATATATATATATATATATATATATATATATATATATATATATATATATATATATATATATATATATATATATATATACCGTCTGGACTTAACTTATTCGTATATCACATTATCATTTTAAATTTTTGAACCGCGAGCATACAGTTGAGTCAGGGACTATGGAACTCACATAAGAATAATCTTAAATGAAAATTGACAAATCCGTAACTAACTCATAATATTCAGAGATATCAATTCGCTGTTAACAGCTACTCCATCTGTTTTATTGGTTATTTATATAATAATTCGCTTGATTATTTTGTTTTAACACAAGTATAAGTGGGAAAGTTAGAAGTTTATAATCCTACATCAAAGTTGAGAACTATATAGATATCACTATTATCCAATCCAAATATAAAACCAAAACAATGTTTTAGAATGATTTATAGAATGAAAAAAATTTGGTATTGGATCATTCAAAGGATAAACACTAGATGATAAAGTAGAAGTGTTGTTTATGTAATTAAGTAGTTTAATGGTGTATACCGAAAATTTATTACTGCTCTCCATCCATTCCAAGTATATAGTGTTTTGTGAAATGAAGATTTAGCGCGCATCTATTAGAATAAATTGAAAATCAGTGGTGGTCAACACTTAAATTAGATTATTCAACTATGTATGGAAAATAGAAAAATGGGAGGGTAATTACCTGTGGGTAAGTGGTATTATCTAAATATTTAAGTATAAAAAAGTCTAATTTCTGAGGGATACCAACATAATTAACACAGTATATTAGCACATATAATATCTTGTGAGATGTTGGTGCATGCAGTTATAAATCTAATCAAATTATATGTGAGAAAAAAATTCTCTGCTGTGAAGGGTGGCCTGCTTGAGTATCTGGGCCACCTGTTCCTGCCATCTAGATATTTCAACAAGTTATCTATTTTTCTTTGTTTTAATATATCATTATGTCTATTCATCGCATAACCTATTCTGCTGCGTTTCTGAAAAGTGTACAACATTTCGTTGTCAAAGTTACAAAAAACTCAATAAGAGACAATGTGGTTGCTGGCAATATACAACGAAAAGAATGCAAATTATTCAGATGTTCATTTACGGAACTGCTAACATCTAACTGGCGATCACTCAATATTTATCGCCAGGACCGACCAAGAAGAAAGAAACGGAAACTTGTTGAAATACGTTGCGCTGAGAATTCTATATTGTACCAAAAAATATAATATTGAATAAAGCTGATAATAATAATATGGTTTTATTTCTTAATAGGTATTAAGAACGTAGTATGTGTATAAACTATTATAATTGACTATTATATCTCTGATCATATGTACATCTTAATAAGACAGCTGAAAACCAATTAGTTCACTTTCTAATGTGTAATATCTTTCTCTATCTCAGTTGGAATTTGATTGGCAAATTGAGATACATTACATCATTCATTTCAAAAGTTAATCCATATATATATAATATGGTTAAAAAAATTGTTTTACAGGTATTCTCTAAATATTAGTTACGTTTCTAAACAACAGCTTATACTAATATAAATTGATTGATGGTTGAAGCAGAAGTTAAATGGTTATAATGTAGCGTGACATTCATTTACCTATTCCAGATTTTTCTAGATTCATTGATTCCCTCCATTATGGCTCCTATTCAGATGATTTTATTAAATGTATTTATTTTAAAAAATGTCAATATTATGTAATCAAATTATTAGTTAGCAGTATCATTTAAGTGATTTAAGTAAAATTCTTTGAAATATTAACTGAATGATGCAAAATCAAAAACAAATTAATTTTATCTCATCATAATGACTCACTTCAGAAAAATGTAATTCATGTATTAAGCAAGATGATGTAGTCATAGAGATGTGATAATTAATTATTGATTCATTTTACTTATTACTTAACTAATTATTGTATTTTTAATAGTTAATATCATGAGTCAGTTGGAGCTAGACCATCATGGAAAACCTGGAAGCACTGGATGGCCGTTTCGTCCTATTGTGGGATTCGAACTCAGAACCTACCGGTATCGCGCGCGAGCACTCAACCACTAGACCACTGAGCCGGTATCCAACGGTGTGAATGTTTAACTTCGACTAATCCACGAAATTGAGCGACACATCCACCATTGTCTTCAGTGAGTTACTATCTCACAACAGACCTGGTTGAACTCCACTGGTCACCACTTCTCACTAGAACTCCAGGATATACCTCTTGAAGCCAGTCACTAGTGAGCATATACTATCCGCAAAAACCATCTGATATTAATCAACATATGCTCACTAGCGACTGGCTTCAAGAGTGTTAGCGGGACATAGACTAGATTAAAGCATGCTCAATGCATGATTGTTTTGGTGCACGCTGATTGACTGATTCTTATCCAATCAGCACTAGTCGATAGTCGGAGAATACTCTGGAATCTTCTTATGTAGAAACTATAAATATACCAACGTTTTCCCCTATTGTGCTTCCTACTGGCTTCTGACTTGCTATTTGGAATATAATCTCTTTCCTGTTCAACCGTGTTCTGATTTGGGGACTTGTCGAGTGAATCGGTGTCCAAGAATACTAAGCAATAGGAATAGCTGGGTCATTAACCGTAAGAAGAAAGAGATTATAACAAAGAGGTATATCCTGGAGTTCTAGTGAGAAGTGGTGACCAGTGGAGTTCAACCAGGTCTGTTGTGAGATAGTAACTCATTGATGACAATGGTGGATGTGTCGCTCACTTTCGTGGATTTGTCGAAGTTGGACATTAACACCGTTAGATGGCGGCCAACTCAGTGGTCTAGTGGTTAAGCGCTCACGCGCAAGACTGATAGGTCCGTAAGGCGGGGTCGTGGATGCACACTGCTGAGGAGTCCCACAATAGGACGGAACGGCCGTCCAGTGCTTCTAGGTTTTCCATGGTGGTCTAGCTTCAACTGTCTCATGATCTTAACCATTGAAATTACTATAATATCCACAAAACCCAACTGATAGTAATTATTGTATTGTTGATAAATTTTAATATCATTGTCTATATTTATATTTACTTGAGAATGGTATTTTTCTTATTTAAACACGAAACCTATGGTTATATATTTATTACAGTATATTTTTCTTAGATACTCTCAAAACAGTGACTTCTGAAGGCTAGGGTTGAACTTTGAGATATGTTTTAAATTACATGAATCATTAGAAGTTTTCTGTGCTAGTCTAGTATGTTGCTTATACAGAACAGTGATTTTGATATCAATTGATTGTAGATGTTAATTGAATGTATATGTCATGCTTGCTTGTCATGAAAATCTAGTTGAGTTGTAATGAGTGGATTACGAATTCCTAGTGGTCTTATCAAGTTGCACGCTGTTTGTAAAGTTGTAAAATTAAAATGGGAAATTTTAGATCCAAAGGAGAGGTTGTACTGTTGACTCTAACAGGAAATTGAAGCAGTATAATGTTTTCTACGTATAACTAATATCCTCAATGTCACATTTTTAACAGACTTAAGTAGACATACAAAAAGCTCGGTCTCTAAAACAGAGAATTTTTATTTTCTTTCGATACTGGTCCCGAAGATAACAAAGTATAGACCCAACAATACAAAACTAAACAAATTTCCCTAGGAAGGCCACAAGTCACTGATATCAAACAGTCTTCTATTGAGCTTTGAGGTGAAGCTCTCGGACTGATGGAGATATTAGCATCAATCCAGTGTCTTGTTCAGGTTCCCTAAGAAGAAGCATTCTTCTACAATATGAGTAGTTATGACTTCCCAACCACTAGCACACATTTAACATCACCAGGTTTTATCCTACTTACGAGATAAATACTGAACTAACTGCCTATAGGCACTTATCGACATTTTTACGTTGCTTAGTGTTAGGTGTGATTCAATGGTAGATTTAGTTTCCCCTACTTTGACAACTCGATGATAGGATGGCTATTGTAACTATGTAGCTTTCAAACAGGTATCTGCTAAGTGTTACGACCGAATAACTACAAAATATTTGGTCAATGGAACATTGGTTCTGACTGAGATGTTCGCAAACAATTTGGGGACTATTCCACTAATCATCAAGAATGGTCTTTCCATTGAAGTCAAGTTTTAGATCATTTTTATTGGGTCGACAAAATGCTAAGACTGGACTGAGTTCACCCAGCAGGGGTGGTATCGTAATTGCACAATCGGGGCTTAAACTGGTCAACATATTTCAGGGATTAACTTACATGACCTTCCAAAATTAATTGACGAAAGAATAGTATATCTTCATTGAATGGTCCATTTACTTGTCCAGTTTCTCGTTCTAGGGCTAACATAGAGATGGCTAGATCACGTTTTTCCAAAAATTCCAAAATTAATTTAACTACATCTGCTTCGTATACTGTTAGTTGAACTTTCTCATGTTTTTGCACACTCATTCTCAATAATGTTACAATTCAGCACTAGTGATTAGAAGAGTGATATGTGTATAATTTGATACATCAATTATCTGCTATTCGAAAAAAGAAGACAATTAGAAAACATACTATAGGTGTTAAGTAATTACACAACTGTTATAGCTTTAGTAAATGAGAGTATTAAGAAAGATTTCTTTAATGAGTTGTTTTTAACTCTTTTTAATGAGGCAACGTATTTCCTTCCGTGCTACTGACTATCTGGAAGAAGAAAGTGACATGAAATATCCAAAAATGAATTGTATGAAATAGTCGTGTAATATGTTTAGTAGAAGGATTATTTCTCATAATACATTTTGCTTTACTCAAAGCACGATAAACTAACAATGTAGGAAAAATTTGTAGGGTTAACTTCCATGAAATCTGTCATTTTTACTTCATTCTCCAAGCGATATGATGCGAGTCCAGAGTGAGCAGGGTCCTTCCAAAATTTCCAAATACTCTATTGCAGCTAGGCCTAGCTGAAATTTTGCTTTGGAAGTCTTGTCCAATGAAGATAAAAAAGCTGGTTTTCATTTAAATAATGTGTATGCTAAAACATCCTGTAGGAACGAATGCAACTTAGAACATAGAACGACGTGCCCATAGGTTGAAGTTGCCGTACCACACTGGGCAGAGAGCTAGAACTATCAGGACGCCCCTAAATGCCCTGGTACGGCCGAGAGTGGGGAGTCAGTTCTACCTTTTAGTGACCCTTAATCTGACTACAGTTAGACCGGAGAAATGATCGTTATCGGGTGATCGCTATCACCTATTCTCGTATATAATTATCGACTTAATCCACATTGGTGAATAACGAAATCAAACAAGCCAAATACTAGAATGGATTTTTGAATACGTATATTTTGTACAATCATCGATCTGAACAGACAATCAGAGGGACGAATCGGAGAGAAATGACACGCAATGGAGAAGGTAAGTGAGCCAACTCAATTTAATCAAACGTTAATCAATATTTATAGTCAGATGAAAATAAGTTACAGATATGTGATGAATGGGATAAGAAGTGCACACACATACGCTCATATGAAAACAGTCGAGGTTGATAAGCAAATAGCTGAAAAGGCCGAAATGTGATTTCAGAAGAATGAATAAGTTGGCTTGTCCGGAAGCCAAAATAAGCTTTGTGGGCTTAACATAGTAACCGACACTACAACCTCTCGAAATCCTCTCACATGACTACGTGCATACAACCACTGTCAGGAAAGTCCTACTCACTGAATCCTGCGGCAAGGGTGTTGCTTAAGGAATTCAGAGGATGAAAGTCAGTCAGTCAGTCAGCTACAACGTAGGACCAGGCACATATGTGCATCGGTCCAGGTTGCCATACCTCATTAGCACAACAAGATGAACACCGGATTCATAGGAGTGGTTAGGTCAAAGGTTGCAATAAGGATATAGTATAGGAAGGAAGAATTAGTTCGTAGAAAGAAAGATATGAAGTGATTTTAATCTCTTAGTTTAAGGGAAGACAGGGAGTGTATACACCGACGCCATTGTGATCGATTCTGAGCCATGTCACCAAGAGTCTCCAACCATTGGTTACGAAAGTCACGCGGACCCCAACCAAGTAGTCTGCATCTACCAACATGGCTAAGACTAGAAGTTAGTGACTTCAAGCACTGATGCCACGTTTTGGTTTGGCCGCCCCTAACTTTTTTCCAACCATCCCCTACACCGGTTAGCATTGCACGTCGTGGTAATCGGTGTTCAGGCATACGTAATACGTGGCCCAACCATCTCAGTCGATGAAGATTCACAACCTCATCAACTGATTTACCATCGTTACCTAATACCCTGCGTCTAACCTCACTATTACTTACCCGGTGATCCCAGCAGATGCCAGCAATATTTCTAAGGCATCTGTGGTCAAATACTTGTAGCTTACGGGTGTCTTCTACTCTTAAAGGCCATGTTTCGCTGCCGTAAAGTAAGACAGAACGGACTGCCGCGCAGTATACTCGTCCTTTTATTGATAGACGGATATCTCGCCTCCGCCAAAGGTGACGTAAGTTGGCAAAAGCCAAACGAGCTTTTCGAATCCGTGCTGAGATTTCGTCAGACACCAACCCATTAGGGCTGATCAGACTTCCAAGATAAGTGAAGTTGTCAACGCGTTCGACTACTTCACTCCCTATCCTTAGTTTAGGTGTTGATGCAGACCAGTCCTGAAGCAACAACTTGCATTTAGAGGGAGAGAAGCGCATCCCAAACATTCTGGCATTGTTGCTTAGTGCTACCAGAAGACTCTGCATTTTGTCAGCGTCTTCACCAAACAGGACTATGTCATCTGCGTATTCTAAGTCGATAAGTGGACCTCCTGGAAGGAGATCAATACCCGAGAATTCAGTCGACGAGAGTGTTATTTCCATCAATAGGTCAATGATGAAGTTAAACAAAAATGGAGAAAGTGGACAGCCTTGACGGACACCACTTGAAGTTGCAAAAGTAGATGACAGTTCGCCATAAGCCCTGACTCGACTAGTAGTGTTCGAGTAAAGAGCCTTCACAAGGTTTATGTACTTCTGAGGTACGCCTTTCAATGACAGACACTGCCACAGAGTCTCGCGGTCTACAGAGTCAAACGCTGCTTTTAAGTCAAGAAAGACCACCATCGTCGGACGCCGATAGGTATGCCTGTGTTCTAGAACCTGACGAATGGTGAATATGTGGTCGATGCAGCCACGACCAGGTCTAAAGCCAGCTTGGTTCTCTCGAGTTTGTAGTTCACGAGTCTTAGTTAGACGTCTGATAATTATCGAGGCCAGTATTTTAGATACTATGTTTGTTAAACTAATCCCTCTGTGGTTGTCACAGGATGATTTTGACCCTTTCTTATATATTGGGACGATAAGTGATTGCGACCAGTCAGATGGGATAAAGTCTAATTCCCAGATCTTAGCTAAAATATTAGTCAACCTAATCGCTAAAATTGGACCACCATCCTTAAAGACCTCTGGAGCCAATCCATCTGGACCAGCTGCCCTTCCTCGTTTCAGATTAACTATAGCCTTTTGAACTTCAGCAAGAGTTGGGGGACCTACTTCAATGTTCCATTCACATTGTCTGGGAATGGAGGGTAGTTGTAGAGTAGCTGAAGGCCAGCTGAACTGTTCTCTAAAATGTTCCGCCCATCGTTCTAAACGTCTGGACTGGGAGCAGATGAGAGTATTATCTTTTTCCGAAATAATCTCACTTACACTTGACTTATTTATTCCAGTTTCTTTTATTAGTCTGTAAAGCTGTCTTGTGTTTCCTATAGTCGCCGCCTTTTCCATCTCTTTTGCTTTCGTTACCCACCACTGCTCACGGTCGTTCCTTAGACTTTTTCTTAACCTAGATCTGATTTGTTTTCGCTCTTCATCATGTTCAGAACCTGATGGGACGAGTTTGCGAGAATCCATCAGTGTGACAGACCTTGAAGAAATCCACTGGTTCCTTGCAACTCTGTGGTTTAAGTCACTAATAGATGTCACTGCTGTTTCCACAGCTGATTGTATGCCCTTCCAAGCAACATCTGGGTCAGCCTCGTCTTCACAACTACCTAAGTGTGACCTCAATTGTTCCTGGAACCTACTTTTGGTTTTCTCGTTACTCAACTCAGTTCTAACGGGTCTTTTTAGTGTGGCCTTTTTGCGTCCAGTGAGGCGCAAGCAGATGCGTGCCCGTATTAGGGCGTGGTCGGAGTCCAAGCAGGTACTCCAGAATGAGCGACAATCTTGTACCGACCCTCTCCAACGATGGCTGATGGTAATATAGTCTATTTGAGTCCATCGTTGGTTTGGTGTAGGGGGTCGCCATGTTAGACGATGTCTCTCCTTATGCTTAAAATTTGTGTTTGCTAAAAATAAACGATTGTCTGAGCATAGCTGCAGCAGACGATCACCATTATCTGTTCGCTGTGTCGGAATACTAAAATATCCACCTAAATGCCTTTCTGTTTGGTTTAAGCTACCTATCTGAGCATTAAAATCACCTGCTACGAGTACTATGTCTGAGCGTTTAGCTTTCTGAAGAAGTTCAGAAAGCTTTCTGTAAAATTCATCTTTCACTTCATCTGAGCTGCAGTCAGTGGGAGCGTAGACAGAAACGACAAAAAGGCAACGACGTGTGTCCCTATCCTTCCGAGTTCTTACGCAGCCGTTCAGCCGAACAGCACATAGACGACTGTTGACGGGGATCCACTCTAGCAGTGCTTGTTCGGCCCTCATGCTTAGTGCTATGCCTACACCTGCCAGTCCACGAGAACTGGCCATCGGGTCACCAGATACACGAAGGGTGTATCTCGTTGGCTCTCCGTTCTGCCGAGGTGAGGTCAAGTGAATGACCACACTGGGATCCTGTATGCGTGTTTCAGAGACACAGCATACATCAATGGTAAGAGACTCTAGGGTTTTAGCCAAGGAAGCCTGTTGACCGATTTGACATAGAGTGCGTACGTTGAAAGCTCCAATGTGTAGTTTGGAGCGAGGTTTCAGTAGACCTGGGACAGAGTTTTGAGCACTAGAATCGTTGGCTATGGTGACACTTGAAGAGGAAGCCGAAGGAGGAAGTTTAGGGTTGAAAGTCGATGTAGGAGGAATAATAGGAATTGAAGAGGAAGGTTGATTATGAATACAGTGATCTTGGGTGCTGTTAGAGGTATGAGGGCGGTTATCACTTCCCGGTTGCCCACACCGAGGAAGGGTTCTTCTGGAGGTACCTGAAAAGGAAATTGGATTAGAGGTGGTCTCGGTGACCTGAGAGCGTGACCGCAGTGCCCAAGGGACAACTGCTTGAGGCCGGTCGCGCACGGCCTTTTCGTGGAAGGTTTTCGACGTGTTAGCTCCGTTCTTCAAAGGGCCTTACCGCCGGAGACGGAGATCCGTGAGGTAAGGTGAGGTGTGCATTTTTAGGGTCGACCTTTTCTAACCCCACCCCTGCCCCCTGAATGCCCTGGTACGGCCGAGAGTGGGGAGAGTCCG